GCTAGGAATTAATCAGCAACTCCATTTCACTAAAAGCAGAAAAGACTTTCCCAAAGTCACACATTCTACATGCTGGCCAACTGGAATCCAGGAACCTGGCCCAGGGCCTGCTACACTTCTCACCAGCCTTACCGGAGGAAGACCCCTGAGGGCCTGCAGGCAGGGGGTGCGCCCTGCTGGAGGCAGATCTCTTGTTCTTGATGTCATGTGCATTTCTGTAAATGGAGGGCAGCCTGCTCACCAGCTCTGTGCTCACGCCCAACTTCTCCAGTTTATCTAGATTCTCAGAATTAGAGAAATCATGAGATCTCTTGCAGCCAGTGCCAAACTTGCATTCACCCTGTAAAAAATACTGGCAGATATGGAGTTTGATACACTTCTTTTGAAAGGAACAAGAGCCGTAGGGTCCATCTCCTTTGTTATAATGTTGGCAGATCTGTTGACAGAAAGAGAAAAAGACAGTAGTTCAGTAAGGTCTATATGACACCACCTCTCCCACTGAGTAGCCTGCTGAGTTGACAAGGCCCTCACAGCCAAAGCAGGGATTCTGTCATCCACACGGACAACAGATATGAGGCCCTCACTCTAGAGAATGGTTGCCAACACATGCCCTTGACTAAGACAGGAACTGGGTGCAAAGAGATTACTCAGAACAAGCCTCTCCACTGGGAAAATCCAAAGAACTTCAAAGTGACCAGAGCTGCTCCCTTCATATGCAACAGCATTTTAACATAAATCGAACAGCAGGGCCCCAACGACCTCTACAATGCACTTATATTTTTTCCCCACTGACTGGTCAACTCTCTCCCCAGTCCCGAGTGTCTTCCAGCTTTTTTTTCCACAATTCAGGGTCAAAGAGGCTCTGATGGTTTAAAGCATCTTAGAAAAGGCCCAATACCACTCTTTCATTTCTCAAGGGAGCACACTGAGGCCCAGACAAGTTATACGGCTGGCCCTAGTCACATAGCTCTCCACAGCATCTGGCACATGCAGTTTTGCAGAACTGAATTTTTGGCAAAGTTGGGACTTAAACTTCAAGTCAACTGCTCCTTCTGCTCTACACTCCAAATTCCTGCAGGTGGAAATCAAGTCACAGACCACCAAGGGCCCACCCACAGCATTCACAGGTATTACATCGCTCAAGATGTAGAAACGCCTCCTAGGGCTATGGAACCCAGACTTTCCCAGGCACTTACTTCTGGCAGAAGCCAGGGGTCGTTCTGAAACAAAAGCTGGCACAGCTCACTATAACTCAGGTGGTCAACACCATGAGTTCTCAGCACACTCAGGTTGTGATTCGTTGCCAAGGTGTGACCATTCCTACAGTTTTTCCTGCAAAGAAGCAGAGCTGGTGTTACAGGCTGTAATGTGTCTCCCCAAAATTTCTATGTTGTTGGAGTTCTAATTCCCAGAACTTCAAAATGTGACTGTATGTGGAGGTAGGGTCTTTAAAAGAGGTAATTATGCAAAAATGAATTCATTAGTGTGGGCCCTAACCCAACATTACTGCTGTCCTTTTAAGAAAAAAATTAGGACAGAGACACAGAGAGAGACACAGGACAGACACATACATACACATACACACACAGAAGAAAGACCACATGAGGATACGCTGGCCATCTACAAGCCAAGGAGAAAGGTCTCAGAAGAAATGAATCTGCCAACATCTTAATACTGGACTTTTGGCCTCCAGAATGGTAAGAAAATCAATTTCCATCACTGAAGCCACCCAGTCTGTGGGACTTTGTCATGGCAGCCCTGGCTAACTTATTCAACTGGTAAAATTGATCTACATGACCATTTTCCAGGAACACTGCCTGACACTGTTTACTAGCACCAGAGAAAAACCAGCAAGTTTATGCATTAAAAAAAAAAAAAGTAATGCTTTTTACTAAGAAAGAGTCAGGCCTTACAAGGTAAAAGGCCCAGGACAGCACATCTCAGCAGGCATTTGATGAGAATGGCAGAGCCATCACCCAAGGAGGAGTCATAGCACACCGATCGGTCAGTAAGCACCTAATCAAGGGCTAAATAAACAAGCGTGTTGTCTTATGGTTAGGGGTATGTGTGCGTGTGCACATGTACACGCACACATACACACACCTGAGCCCAGTCCTTTTTCTGCTCTCTTCCTCCATTCCACGAGCAACTGCTGAATACCAGCTGTGAGTTGCCTGGGTCACCAAGACCCAGAAGAGTCCAGGCAAACAATATTTGCTTTACTCAGACACTGCCATACCTCATATGCCATGTTCATAATATGCATTTCTTTTTTTGAGTTGGAGTCTCACTCTGTCGCCCAGACTGGAGCGCAGTGGCCACTC